GAGGAGGAGGAGGAGGAGGAGGAGGAGGAGATGCGACGATCGATCGATACGACGCGACAGCAGCCGCTCGCGCGTTTGGGCTTTGCTCCTCTCCCACCCCGTTGCCCACATCTGGCCGCGCACACGGGGGGGGCCTTCTCGACGGGCTTCCACGAGGGCCTCCCAAGAAGGCTTCCGAGGCTCGGGGGTGGACAGAACCCCCACCCTGACACGTCGATGAGTGAATTGCCCGTTTTCGGTTCTCGAGAGGGCGCCGCGGCCGTCGTTTTCCAGGCTTGCGCCCGCCAGGGTTGGGCCCGAGGTCGTTTTCACTAAACCACGCTTTACCAAAGGGGGTTCTGTCCATCCCCGAGAGTATCCCTGGTGCGGTTCCAAGGAGGTCTTCCAAGAAGACCCGAGGGCGGCTGCTCAGGAGGCCTTCTAAGAGAAGGCCTTCCGGGGCCGATGGGGCCTGCGGCAAAAAGGCCCAGGGTCCTTCAGAAGGGTTCGGGGGCCTCGAAGAAGGCCCCTTGGGCGAGAAGCACCCTGACTCCTCAGAGGGTTACCCCTCCAGCCCCCAGCCCTTCCCCCATCAGCGCACTGCCAGAACGAGGACGACAGGGAGGGTCTCTCTGAGGTGGATGTCGACGAGGGCGAGGGCGAGGGTACGAGGGGGGCGAGGACACGGAGACGAGGAAGCACGGCCCGGGCGAGGACGCGCAGGACAGAGAGACGACGCCGACGAGGAGAAAGAGGAGGACCCTTTGGCGGCTCAAGAGCGCTGCCTTTGACGGGCGCCAGCGCGTTTGCGGAGGCGTCAATCATCGCCTGGCTTTCGACCATCTTCGGGTGCGGCAAAGGGGGGTGGTGACTAGGGGGGGGTGCATATATCATGGCGTGGGCCGTGACATTTCCTCAGAGTTCATGGCTCCCCTTCTCATTTCCTTATGGCCCAGGGCTTGATTCTGAGCTGAACGGTTTGGTGTCGACACCTCCGAGCTGGTGTCTTCTCAACCCGTGGCCCTCAGAGATCCCGACCCCTTTTCCGGGGACGGGTCGCGCATCCCCGAGGCGTTTTTGGATGGTCTTCCCCTTCCTTCTCTTCCTCTTCTTCATCCTCCCCCTCCTCCTCCTCCTCCTCCTCCCCCCCCTTCTCCTCCTCCTCCTCCTCCTCCTCCTCCTCCTCCTCCTCCTTCTCCCCCCTCCCCTCTTGGCCGCCCCTTGGCTCTGGATGATCCCTCCTGCCATCCCTTGTATATGCAAGCTGATAGCTCGCACACCCTCGATGTGATTCGGGGTGCTCTATTGTGTCGTGTGTGGGAGTTTCGGCACGGTGAACACTCGGGGGTTTTGTAAAGCCTGCCCCCCGTCACGCCGCCCCACCAAAGCGGGAGCGGAGGTGCTGAGCCGCCTCTCGCGTGGACTCACGCCCAAGAGCGGAGCCCCCTGGCCTGCTCCCTGAGATTGGATTGCGCCCAGGCTTGACCTGGTCTCCGCTTGAGTCCAATCCAATCTCCCCTCTTGGCCGCCCCCGACGTCTGGGACCCCCCCCCGCCTTCGACCGCCATGGCCCCCGCCGCTCCGGGCGCGGCGGCCGACGCCGCCGCCGCGGCCACGGCGCCCGCCCGCGAGGACGGCGGCAGCGCCCCGGCCCCGCCGCAGCTCGTGGGCCGGCCGGCGCGCCGGGAGGCCGCGAGCGGGCCCGAGGCGCAAGTCAGGCATGTCCTCCCACAGGAGGAAGACTCAAACATAGTCAAAAAGTAGTCAACACATTTTGGAAACAAGTCCTTCTGGAGGAGGAATATTCAAGAACAGTCGAATACAGTACGGGTGGACGGTTTATCAGTTATTTCTGACAAGTTTTCGATCTTTGTGGAATAATATTTCGCCCAGAAGCCGCCCAGTGTGAAAATGCAGTCAAAACATAGTATGTGGAATGTCAAAAAAGAATTCCAATATATATATATATATATATATATATATATTGGAACACATTTTTCTAGAGGAGGAGTAATCAAAAATAGTCTAGATAGTATGCGTGGACGGTTTTTCAATTACTTTCGACAAGTTTTGAATAATTTTGGAACCATATTTCGTCCAGAAACCGCCTGCAGGGGGACGTGCCCGGCCTAATTGACCCCAGACATGATCGCGTCGTAAAGAATTCAGGAGGGAGGCTTTTCCCTGCTTTCGGCCTCTGGAGGCCCTCGCAGGGCCCTGGGGCCGTCAACAAAACGATTCCGGATGAAAAACAACCGGCCCCGGGGAAAGGGTCGCGGTCTTCGGGGGCCGCGCATCGACAGAAATCAGGGCGTCGCATGTCTGGGACTGAGGCTGCGGGCGCCGGCGACGCGCGGGCCCCGCCGCCGCTGGCGCCGCCGGCCGCGGGCGACGGCGACGCCGACAGCGACGAAGACTCGCAGCATGGCGCACACTGCCGGCTCGCCGCCAGGCTCGCCCTGCTCGCCCTGGCGCTGCTGGCCCTGGGCGGACCCGCGGCGGCCCACCTGCGCATGGCGCGCCCGTGCTGGAGCGAAGAAGACGGCTCCGCGGGCCGCGAGCACTGGGCCGTGTTCTGGCCTCAGTACGCAGTGGCCGCGCCAGTGAGCCTGGCTCTGGCGGCCTGGTGCTTGACCGTGCGCCGGCGCGCCTCCCCCGCTGTGCCGCTGCACGCGTGGACGCGGCGCTTCGGGGCCTGCGCCGCCGTCGCCTCGGCTGCCCGGCTCGCCAAACCCGCCCTGGACCCTGGGTGCCACGGCGCGGCGGGCGCGGCGTGGCAGGGCGCGTGCCGCTCGTTGCACGATGGGAGCTTCGTGGTGAGCTTGGTCGTCCTGTACTACCTGCTGGTGCTGAAGCTGCGCGCGCTTGGGCTCCGGCGCCATGAGCGGACCGCCCGCGTAGCGCTGGCGACAGCGGCGGCGGCGTTCGCCGCATGCGTCGTGGCCGTCGTCTCGCTCTTCGCCCTCGGCCTGCCAGGCATGGGCGACGGGCGCGTGCCGGCGGCGCTCTGGTGGATAGGTTCGGGGAAGCGTAAGACTCGAGTAAGCCAGAACTCGGGTTTGCCAGCGTTTTTTGACGAGCGCGTCGTGGATTTCGACGGTCCAGCTTTTCGTGGGATGTCTGCAGCGGGAGCTCGCGTCAAATTTCAGATTTGGTCTCGTCATTTTTCCCCATATCCAAAGGATGGGGTTCTTGTTATTCTCCGACCGCGCCGGACCACCCGTACCACCTCCCTCTCTCTGCATTAGACACTGATGATGGTTGTCATGATGATGATGACCATGGTATGGTGAGAGTATGATGTGAGTATGATGGTGATGGTGAGTGATGGATGAGTATGATGATGATGAGTATGATGATGATGTTGATGCTGATGCTGGTACTGATGCTGCTGATGCTGCTGCTGATGATGATGGTGATGATGATGATGATGATGATGATGATGATGAGCAGATGATGATGATGATGAGCAGATGATGATGATGATGATGATGATGATGATGATGATGATGATGATGATGATGATGATGATGATGATGATGATGATGATGATGCTGAGCAGATGATGAGGATTTCTGGAGCGGTTTGCTGGTTTTAGCACTCCTAAGGGGGGGCCGCCAGGGGTATTGCACGGCCTCCGTTCGTGCCCAAATGGTGGGGAAGTCTCAGGCGGTTTGCCTGTTTTGGTCCGCAACGTCCTTCGCTTTCGGAGCAGATTCGGAGGATGTCTCAGGCGCGGCGCTGGTTTTCGCGCCCCAGGGTGGCCAGATTCTGAGGATGCGTCAAGCGGTTTGAGTGTTTTGGTGGTCAGACTCGTCTGCTGACAAAGCAGATTCTGAGGATGTCTATGGCGAGGCGTTGATTTCCGCACTCCCAGAGGGCCCAGATTGCGAGGATGTCCTAGACTCACTCATGCTCAAACTCACTAGTGCTCAGGCTCACTCATATTCAGACTCGCACTCATCATACTCATACTCAGACTCACTCACACCCAGACTTACGCACGCTCAGACTCACTCACACTTACACCCAACCACCCTCAGACTCATTCGTAGTCAGACTCACTCGTACTCAGACCCACTCAGGGCCAGTTTCATTCCATCATACACATACTCAGACGCACTCATATTCAGATTTACTCACGCTCAGAATCACTCACACTCAGACTCACCCACCCTCATATTCACTCGTAGACAAACTCACTCGTAGTCAGACCCATTCAGACTTAGACTCGTACTCACTATACTCATACTCAGACTCACTGGCTTTCGCACCCTAGGGGGGGCAGATTGCGAGGATGTCCCAGACTCACTTGTCAGACTCGTACTCATCATACTCATATTCAGATTACTCACACCCAGACTTACGCACACTCGGACTCACTCACAATTAGACCCACCCACCCAGAGAGTCACTCGTTGTCATACTCACTCGTACTCAGACCCACTCAGAGCCAGTTTCATACCCATTATACTCTCACTCTGACGCACTCACACTTATATTTACTCACGCTCAGAATCACTCACACTCAGACCCACCCACCTTCAGATTCACTCGTAGTCAGACTCACTCGTACTCAGACCCATTCAGACTCAGACTGGTACTCATTATATTCATACCCAGGCTCACTCACACCCACTCTTACCCACACTCAGACTCACTCTCGCTCAGACTTACGCATTCTCAGACCCACGACCGCCAGACGATGAGCGAATCTGGTGCCCAGATTTGGATTCCTCTCCGGGAGGCCCCAGGGGGCCCCAGGAGGCCCCAGGCGGCCCCAGGAGGCTTCAAAAGGTTCCAGGAGGTCACAGGCGGCGCCAGGAAACTTCAGGAGGCCCCAGGAGGCCCGAAGAGGCCCAGGAAACTCTAGGAGGCCCCGGGAAGCCCCAGGAGGCCACAGGAGGCTCCAAGGGGCACCAGGAAGCTCCGGGAGGCCCCATGAGGCCCCAGGAGGCCCCAGGAAGTCCCAGGCGACCCGCCTGAGACATCCTCGGAATCTGAGCTCCTCTCGGTGCTGAAACCAGCGCCTCACCTGAGACATCCTCCGACACTGCTCTGAACGCAGACGACTCTGGCCACCCAAACAGGCAAACCGCCTTAGACATCCTCGCTTTCTGCGGCCACTCCTGGATTGGAGCACTGTAGGAACATACGTAAAACATATAGGATTGGAGCCACTCCTGTGGCCTCCTGGGGCCTCCTGGTGCTTCCTGGGGCGTCCTGGGACCTCCTGGGGCCTGCTCGGGCCTCTTGGGGCTTCCTGGGGCCTCCTGGGGCCTCCTGGGGCCTCCTGAGGTTTCCTAGGGCCTCCTGGAACTTCTTGGGGCCTCCATCGGCCTCCTGGGGTCCTCTGGGACCTCTTAGGAGTTCCTGGTGCCTCTTGGGGCATCCTGGGGCCTCGTGGGGCCTCACGTCACACCCAGACTTACGCACACTCAGACTCAGTGACAATTTGACCCATCCACCCTCAGAATCACTCGTAGTCATACTCACTCGTGCTCAGACCCACTCAGAGCCGGTTTCATATCCATCATTATTCTCCAACCGCGCCGGACCAAGAGAACCCCTCCCCGCCTCCCTCTCTGCACTAGGCAATGATGATGATTGTCATGATGATGACCATGGCATGGCCAGAGTATGATGTGAATATGATGGTGATGGTGAATGATGGTGAATGATGGATGATGATGATGATGATGATGATGATGATGATGATGATGATGATGATGATGATGATGATGATGATGATGATGATGATGAGGATGATGATGAAGAAGAAGATGTTGACGATGCTGCTGCTGATGATGATGCTGCTGATGATTATGATTATGATGATGATGCTGATGCTGATGATGATGATGATGATGATGATGATGCTGCTGCTGATGATGATGATGCTGATGATGATGATGCTGATGCTGCTGATGATGATGATGATGATGCTGATGATGATGATGATGATGATGATGATGATGATGATGATGATGATGATGATGATGACGATGATGTGGTGATTATGATGATGATGACGATGAGCAGATGATGAGGACGTCTCGAGCGGTTTGCTGGTTTTAGCACTCCTAAGGGGGGGGCCGCCAGGGGTATTGGACGGCCTCCGTTCGCGCCCAAATGGTGGGGAAGTCTCAGGCTGTTTGCCTGTTTTGGTCCTCAACATCCTCCGCTTCCGGAGCAGATTCGGAGGATGTCTCAGGCGGTTTCCTGGTTTTAGCACTCCTAAGGAGGGGCCGCCAGGGGTATTGCACGGCCTCCGTTCGCGCCCAAATGGTGGGGATGTCTCAGGCTGTTTGCCTGTTTTGGTCCTCAACATCCTTCGCTTTCGGAGCAGATTCGGAGGATGTCTCAGGCGAGGCGCTGGTTTTCGCACCCCAGGGGGGCCAGATTTCGAGGATGTCTCAAGCGGTTTGCGTGTTTTGGTGGTCAGACTCGCCTGCTGTCAAAGCAGATTCTGAGGATGTCTATGGCGAGGCGCTGATTTCCGCATCTTCAGAGGGCCCAGATTGCGAGGATTTCCTTGCTCAAACTCACTAGTGCTAAGGCTCACTCATATTCAGAGTCGCACTCATCATATTCATACTACGACTCACTCACACCCGGACTTTCGCACACTCAGACTCACTCACACTTAGACCCACCCACCCTCAGACTCATTCGTAGTCAGACTCACTCGTACTCAGACCCACTCAGGGCCAGTTTCATTCCATCATACACATACTCAGACGCACTCACATTCAGATTTTTTCTCACGCTCAGAATCACTCACACTCAGAATCATCCACCCTCATATTCCCTCGTACTTAGTCAAACTCACTCGTACTCAGACCCATTCAGACTTAGACTCGTACTCACTATACTCATACTCAGACTCACTGGCTTTCGCACCCCAGGGAGGGGCAGATTGCGAGGATGTCCCAGACTCACTTGTGCTCAGACTCGTACTCATCATACTCATACTCAGACTCACTCACACCCAATCCATGCAAATAGATGCACATATGGGGAGCTCCACGCAGTGAATAATTATGATGGCCCCGTCAGGCCAGGCCGAGTCCCTCGTGCCCGAGTCTTCAGTCTCCCCGATAGGTATCATCGGCTTTCTGGTGCTGTTTTTGGCACTGCCGGTGCTTACCTGCTGCGGGGTGTGGGGCTTGCTGGCCGCCGCCGCGCGCGCCGAGCGCTCCAGGCGCGGTGGGGTGGCGCAGATGGCGCGCTGGGTGCGCGGCACAGCCGCGCTGGTCGTGGCGTCCCTCTTGCTGTTGATCGCGGAGGGACTCCTCCTCGCCTTCTGCATGAGCGGCGCCTATGACGGAGGTCGGTGGCACGCCTATGCTTGGGCCTCTGCCACACATGGCGGCTTCAACTGCCTGCAGGTGGCCCTTCTCTCGGGCCTTGCCGGGCCGCGGTCGTTGCGGCGCTTGGCGGTGGATGCCTTCGAGCGCATCAACTGCTACAGCTTGGAGGACCTGCAGAGATGTTACGAAGAGTTTCTGGCGTACCTGGACGAAGCCCAGGTGAAGTGGGTTCGATTTGGATACCTTCGGCATCTTATGGAATCTGGATCGGTCATGGTGCGCTGTCAACAGGTGCCCGCTGCCGAGGCCGTCATCGGCAGCTCGGGTTTTCCGGACTGCAGGGACGATCCCAAGCAGATTTTCGTACTGTCGCACCCTTGGCTGACAAAGGAGCACCCGGATCCTAGCGGAACGAAGTTGCAGCTGTTAGTGCGACAGTTGGACCTGTTGTGCGCACTCGATGACGCACTGGTATTTATCGACTACATGAGCCTTCCACAGCACAACACGCTGGACCCAGAGTACGAGCGTTTGGAGGAGAACAATTGGCCCAAGCCTGGCGAGCACCATGCCGTCCGGACAGAGGCGGAAGACAAGTTGTTCAGGACCGCCCTCGGCTCGATGGAGCTCATGTACAGTATGAGCAACGCTGCCGTTATTGTGCTTCCTATGGACGACGAGGTCGCTGCAGGCGAGGACTACTTCTCACGAGGGTGGTGCTTCTTTGAATTCTGCATCGCGTTCAGCTTCGGCAATATAGCGAACGCCAGTATCCATCCGCCTGTGGAGACGCTGTGCAGGAAAGCTGCCGAGCTGAAAGTGGACATGGTCGAAGGGTTCCAGCAAGGTTTCAGGGCGACTCGCTTCACCAGCAAGGGCGACAGGGCAGTAGTCAGCACGCTCTTCGAGCAGACCTTGATGAAGAAGCCGAGGCAGACCTTGATGAAGAAGCCGAGGCAGTGACGAGCATGTGCCAGCCCGCCTTGGCGTACTCACAACGCGCGGGGAATATCTGCACGGCAGGGCGACCATGAATTGCAGTACGTAATGATGACGGTGATGATAATTCACCATGAAGGATGGAAGGAGCAATACGGAAAATCATGGGAACTCGAGTTGGGGCAGGAAAGCATCGCGGCAACACTGTATGTTTTCCCGTCCGTGTTCGCCCCCCCTTCTCATCGCTGCCATTCCCTCCCTCACATCTTTTCGGCCCGTTGCCCTTCGAACCCTTTCGTTTGTCCCTCGCGTATTTCTCTTTGCAGAGGCTTGCTGCCTCCGCCGCCGCCCTGAAGGCGGGATATCCCTGGGGACCCCCGCCGGCGCCCCCCTACCCCGGGACCCGCTTGGACCCGGGGGGAGGGTCTTCGGACCCTGGACCATGCTCCCCCACCACAGACGGGACCTCCGGGGCCTCTCCGCGCCCCCTCCCCCCTGCCCTTCCTGTCCACAGGGGGGAGCCGGGCAGGGGAGGGGGGGCCGCGGTGACCCCAGAGAGGGGGGGGGGGGGAGGGTAATCTGACCCGGGGGTCACGAGGGGTCAGGAGCGGTTCCCGGGGGAAGGTCGGGGGGCGGGAGGGGGGGTCCGGGATCGGCCGAGCTTGGACGTGCTCCCCTTGTCCCAGTCACCAAAGCGCCGCGGGCTCAGTGAGCCGATCTGCTGGCGCTGCGGGTGGGACCTGGTGGACGCCCACGGTCAGGCGCCTGCCCACGCGTTGCATGTTACATTATCATGAAGCCTTGTCCTCAGTTTGGTTCAGCCCCACGTGACATATTTGAAACTGTCCCGGCGTGGAGCCTGCGTACTGATTATTCCCTTCTGGATAAAACGCGCAGACAAACAACGATCATTGACGTCAGCATCAGCATCTTCATATTCATCAGCATGCTCACCATCTGCATCATCATCATCATTACCGTCAGCATCATCAGCGTCAACATCAGCATCAGCGTCAGCGTCAGCATCGGCATCTTCTCCATATTCATCGTATTCACCTTCTCCATCATCTTTATCATCACTATCATCACCCTCACCCTCACCATCACCTTCATCACCAACGTCATCACAACCATCATCATCATCACCACCATCATCGTCATCGTCGCTGTCGTCGTCATCAACATCATCATCACTATCATCATCATCAGCATCACCATCATCATCGCTATCGTGATCACCATCGTTATCGTCACCGTCATCATCATCATCTTCAGCAGCATCATCACCATCATCATCACTGCCATCATGTTGATAATCATCGTTTTCACCATCATCACCATCGTCATTATCACCATGATCATCATCATCATCGTCATCATCACCATCATCATCATCATCATCATCATCATCACCATCATCATCATCATCGTCGTCGTCGTCATCATGATCGTCGTCATCATCGTCATCGTCATCATCACCATCATCAGCATCTTCTTCTTCTTCTTCTTCATCACAGTCATCGTCGTCGTCATCATCGTCGTCGTCGTCGTCGTGCACAACGCCAGCCTGGGAGGGGGAAGGAAGACGAGGAGGGGGTAGAGGAGGCGTCTGCGCCCGGGCCCCTCGAGATCGCCGCGCCCTGCTTTGCCTGCCAGCCGCCAGACGCTTTTCGATGCCACGTGGACCATCGGGGAGGCAAGCCGAGGCGCGGGAGTTGAGTTCCGATGGCCCATTCCTCAGTGGGGGCCCACTGTCCATCGGGGGGGGACGAGTCGCGGGAGTTGAGCTCCGATTGCCTTTTCGACCGTGGGGGCCACATTCAAATGAGCAATCGAGGGGGCAAGTCCGAGGCGGGCGAATGTAGCTCCGATCGCCCAACTAGCAAAAGGAATCCCGTTGTCAAGTGGGTCATCGGGGTACCCGATTGCCTATTTTATGATGGGATCCCCACTGTTAATCAGGGAATATGAAGGGAAGTATGGCCGATTGCCTGTGTGACAGTGGGGATAACTTGCCAAACGGGCAAAGTTCGCTCAGCACTTTCAGCTGCAATTTTGCCCCTCCCCACCCCCCCTGTCCAGGGGGGGACTATGGGGGGGAATCTCACACGCCTTGATGACCCAAAAGGGGTCGACTGACTCCGTGACTGCCCCACAAGCCCGTTGCTATCCCTCAGAAAGCTTTGCACCGCGCGCTAAGGGTGGCTTACGCTCGGAACACTTCTCCTTTGGTAAACTCGAGTGTGTGGATTCGCGCAAAGCCTACTGTCAATGACTACGGAGTCGGCGCTAGCATCTAAGCGCGCGCGAAGCGCGCGCGTGGTTCTCGTTTATGTAATCGCTTCGCTCATTCCGCTGGCCCATCTTGCCTCATGGCGAGCGATAGTGGAGGAGGAGGAGGAGGAGGAGGAGGAGGAAAAGGGGGGGATGAGGATGACGAGGAGGTCTCTGGAGAGCTTCATGTGTCAGTCAATTTGGGGCGAAAGTGGTCATGGATCGAGCTTTAGTAGGATTCAGTTACAGTTGGGTCCAGCTGTTGTAGGCTTCAATTAGAGCTGGATCGAGCCCTGTCAAGATTCTTCATGGGAGAGGGAGGGGGCCGTTCGAACCTCCCCCCCTTAGAAAAGGGAGGCCCCCCCGATTCGACAACCCCCCCCGAAGGATGTTGCTTGTCCCCCCTGCCGGTTAGAGAGGCCCGTGTCCATTGGTGGGTGGGTTCGTGCGACACGCTGTTTGTATGATTGCTGCCGTGCTTTCTGTTGAGACATGTCCTTGTGATTGGTGCGCGACGGCTCATCCGTTTATTATTCGTATTTGTTTTCACCAGTTCTTTCATCATCAGTTTACTCATCATTTGATTATTCTTGCCTTACGCGTATCCTTCTCATCGTCCTTCCAGCCGTTCTGCATTGCTCTCATCGTTTTGCAGCCTCGTCGTATTCCTCTGTCCTCCGGTTCCTCCTGCTATTCTTTGTTCTCTTCGGCATCGTTGTCATTGTCTGCTGGATCGTTCTCGCCTCGGTGTGGCCGCGGGAGCTTACCAGGAAAACGGGAAACAACAACAGCATAACAAAAACAGCATCGCGTTTTCACATGGCAAATTAGCTAGGAACACCTGTGACACTCGCTATTTCCATGATGCAGATCCCCTACAGCTATAATCCTTAAGTAAGATCGCCACATCAAGTATCCTTGTATAGAATGCTGCTACAAAAAGGTGTCACTTGAGGCGGCCACTGCAGATGCCTCACAGTGAAAATCATTTGGGGCATTCGCCTCAGGAGGAATCCTTTTCGCAAGGGCTGTTGCAGAGAGGGCTTCGATGATGGGGTGTCTGCACCGCACGAGCAGCGCGACTCAGGTGCTTTCCTATGTTATGGACTTTCATGGCAAGCCGTGTTGTTCTTTCAGGAGGGAAATACCACACAGACACAATTAATCGTCGACTCTCAGAACAATATGGGAAACTATGGGAAGTGGGGGGGAAGACAAAAGCCCAGAAAATATGTGTAAATATGGGAAATCCTTTTATTTGTGTCTATTTAATCGTGTGTCCCAGGGCCCCTTCATTCTTGTTCTCTTGGCAAGCCTCCGCGGCCTCACTGGCGATCTCAGGGGCGGCCTCTCCGTGGGGCCGCCGAATCCTGCCAGGAAGACGCAGGAGCAGCAGGAGCAAGAGCACCCTTTGCATTCTCGCATGGAGACATCCTTTGAAACGCTAGAAGCTCCTGTGACTGTCGCCAGTCGCATTGGCTTTCAGACCCCCCACTCTGGAATCCTTTTTTCGGAGCACGATTTAGAAGTGTGAGGGTTCGCACCACAGAAATAGCGAGAGGCACAGGTGTTCCTGGCTTCCCTGTATTTTCCATGCGCAACCAGACTTAATTGTTTTTTTCCTGGGTTCTCTGATTTGTATGGTAAGCTTCATGGTATTTGCATTTTTTTCATGTTGTTATCTGCTTTTCCCTGTTTTCCCGGGAAGCTTCCGCGCCCCCACGGCGATCTCAGTGGCGGCTCCCTCGGGGCGCGGACGCCTGCCACGAAAGCAGGAGCAAAAAGAACACCAACAACATCCCTTGCGTTCTCACAGGGGCAGTTAGGATACAGCCAAGAAGACATGTGACTGTCGCTAGTCGTATTTGTGGCAGACCCCCACAGTTACAACCCTTTTGTGATATTGCCACGAAAACGAGAAGCATCCTTCTGCTGAGGCTGCTACACGAGGACTCCAAGTGTGGCGGCCACTGCAGATGCCCCGCAGTTCAATCCTGTTGGAAGGCCGCCACAGGAGGACACTCCTTTTGCAAGGGATCCTGCAACAGCTTTCCAACTTGGGGGATCTGCACCGTATGAACAGCGAGAATGACCAGTTTCCCAGTTTTTTTGAACAAGCAATCCCGTGCCAAAACATACGTGTTCATAAAACAAAAAAATGGTAGGAGGCTTGCGTCCGCGGCCCCACGGCGCGACCCCACGGCGCTTCCTTGCAAGCGGAATCAAGATGTAAATCAAGTGCTTGCTGATTACACGTGTGCTGATTTTTGCAAATTGTATTTGGTTTGCAGTACTTTTCAAACTTGCTTCAGTTCTGGAGGATCTCAGTTGCGGCGCCGCGGAAGTCGTACGGAGGGAGTCATTTTGTAGAGCTGCCTCTACACGGATCAGCGCGTAAGTGTATTTCGCTTTACATGTGATGTTAACGCATGCAACACGTGGCACGTGCAAGCAAAAAGAGCAACGCTGCAGGTTGTCATTGCACAGACGGCGGGTCCAATGGTGGGGGGCCGGTTCTCCGGGCGCGGCAAATGTGTAAGGGGGCGGTTGCGACGCGTCCAGGGGTTGTCTCCAAAGAAGAGTCAAGAGTGCGCGAAATGTTTTCTCTCGCAGAAGGTGATAGTCATTACAATGAGGGCTATGTTGGTTGTGATGGCGATGATGAAGATGCGGAGGGAAAAGGAGATGGATACGGATATTAGTATTATGATGATGGTGGTGATGATAATGATTATGCTGATGATGATGATGAGGATGACGATGACGATGGTGATGATGATAATGATGGTGGTGGTCGTTGTGGTGATGGCAGTGACGCCGATGATGACGGCGACGATGATGCTGATGCTGATGGTGATCATGATGACGGCAACAGCGATGAATCTGATTACCATGGTGGCAAACATCATGACGACTAGGATGTGTACGATAATGAGGATGGTGATGATAGCGGCCATGATGCTGCTGCTGATGAGGATGAGGATGAGGATGTTGATGACGCTGACGGTGCCGAGGCTGGGATCGATTATGATGATGATGTTGGGGTTGATAATGATGACGATGCTGATGGTAACTATGAAGATGATTATGGTGTTGACGATGATGATGATGATGATGATGATGATGATGATGATGATGCTGATGATGATGATGACCATGATGATGATAGACCATGATGGTGGTGGTGTTGGTGGTGATGCTGCTGATGATGATGACGATGTTGATGCTGATGATAATGAGGAGGACGATGACGAGGGCGTGGATCCTGATGATGATGATGATGATGCTGATGTTGTTGATGATGATGATGCTGATACTGCTGATTCTGATGATGCTGATTATGACGATGACGACTATGATGACGACCGACGAGATGATGATGACGATGAGGATGAGGATGAGGATGCTGACGATGCTGACGATGGTAATCATGGTGATGATGATGATGATGTTGATAGTGCTGATGATTATGATATTTATTTATGATGATGATGATGCTGATGATGATGCTGATGCTGATTACGATGGCGATGCTGATGATGATTATGATGATGCTGACGCTGATGCTGCTGATGGTGGTGATGCTGATGATGCTGATAATGCCGATGATGCTGATGTTAATGATGCT